TGTTTGAGTTCAGGACTTTGTTTCGAAAGAGTAAAATTGGCAAGTATGTATGATGAAGTCAGACTATTTGTGTGAATTCAGACAAGACAGATCTGCGAATTTGCTTGTTGTTGTGTCACGGAGACTGAGCGAACGCATAAGTTGCGGGTTGTTCAGTCATACGCACTCGTTACTTGTCTAGGCTGGGCTAGACTACTCATAAGTTGGGTAGCCAGGCTCTACGCCATATGTAACTGTTTGTGCTGACCGGGGCACAACATAAGTTGAGGCAAAGGTTGGACTCATAAGTTGAGGTGGTCCAGATCTTTGGGTATGCCAAATGTTCAGGCTGGCCAGCCCCGCCATAAGATGGTGTGGCCCGGTCATACGCCTTACGTCAATTTGTTTAGGCAGAAACTGACCACATCATAAGTTCGTGTGAATCGGTCATATGCCTTATGTCTACTTGTTCAGGCAGACTATTCACACCATAAGTTGGTGTGGTCAAGTCATGAGCCGCCAACATAAGGAGAATTTGAGCATACAATCTGATACAACTATATATTATGTATATCATTGCCAGGCTGGGCGCCATAAGTTGGGAGATCTAGCCATATAAGCCGGTAGCAGACAAAGCAGAGGAGAAATAAGATGAGTAGTATAAAATTTGAGTGGTAACCTTGGGCAGGCTGACTCATCCATAAGTTGGGTAGTTGGTCTTATGCCCTTGATAACACAAAGGGCAGAGAGAGAATATAAAACTTGACTATCTTTGTTTCTAAATATAAGTTGATGTGTGGATGGGGAGTCTCATAAGTTGAGGTGACCTGACCACTCGTCTGAAGACAGAAAGAACTTGTGACTCTACTTATTGAATGTAGTTGTGTTGCGGAGGCTGGGCGAACGCATAAGTTGCGGGTTGTTCAGTCACACGCGCTTGTTTGCTTGTTTAGGCGAGCTAGACTACTCATAAGTTGAGTAGCCTAGTTTTACGCCATATGTCATCGTGTGCGTTGGCTAGGCACAACATAAGTTGTTGTGTTCTGGTCATATGCCCTTTGTCGTTGTTTAGGCTAAGGCTGGCCCCTCATAAGTTGAAGAGGTTTAGTTCGTTGTTATGCCGAACGTTCAGGCTGACCAGCCTCACCATAAGTTGGTGCGGCCCGGTCATACGCCTTATGCCAATCGTGTAGGCAAAAACAGGTTCAGGCTGACCAGCCTCACCATAAGTTGGTGCGGCCCGGTCATACGCCTTATGCCAATCGTGTAGGCAAAAACNAATCGTGTAGGCAAAAACAGGTTCAGGCTGACCAGCCTCACCATAAGTTGGTGCGGCCCGGTCATACGCCTTATGCCAATCGTGTAGGCAAAAACTGGTCACACCATAAGTTGGTGTGGTTTGGTCCTATGCCTTACGTATACTTGTTTTACCAGGTTAGGGCACCATAAGTTAATGTGGCCTAGCCATATAAATCGGCAGATCAGTCACATCCATAAGTTGGGTTGGCTGATCCTATGCCTTATGTAAGGAGGGGTAAAAAGGGAATAAAGAGGCTTTCTGAACGAACTATGTGACCTGGAAAGGAACCTGTGGGTTACTGAGAGATTTTGTTGTGCTCACCCATGTATGTTTCTTTTGGGGTATCTCTGGGGATCTCCTTTTTGATAGCTTAGTCACTTTTTATGCTCGCCGAGTGCTGGAGCTATAGGTAGATGAGATGGATGATGGGGAACTTGGGATAAGATAGGACTGACCGCAGTAGGAGTTAGCATCGGTGTTACTTCACGATGTCATCCTCAAGAAGGGATCGTGCAGACTATCTCTGGTTCTAACTATCAGGTAAGTGTCGGGAGTTGGTCCCAAGTATAGTTGTGTTTTGTCCTTGTAATTTCAGCTTTGTATAAATCTTGGCAGTCCCCTGTTCCTACGGGGAGCGCTGCTGAAATTTTTACAAGTCTGAGGGAGTTGGTCATTTTTGGACACCTGAAAATTTCGAAAAGGCACTTTTCCTACGGGAAGCGCTGCCGAAATTTGCAAAATTTGGAGAGTTGGATTATTTTCTGCTAGGAAGAAATTGACAATCTGCCCTGTCTAGGGAAAAGATACTGTCGAAAGTTTCAAGGGTTTTTGTGGAAGAAAGCTAGTAGAGGAGCTAGGCTACGAAATGGAGCACGTTCTCCATTTGGCTCAAACGGAGTAGTGGCTCTCTTTGGTCTGTACTGTGATACAGGGCTGCGAATTCGATTGAAGGTTTGACTTGCTCAGCCTGATCCTACAGAGCATCATCTTCTGTTATCACTGATAACAGGTCGGTTGTCGATTCATCGGTTTACGACACAACTTTCTGCCTTCTGCATCTCAACCTAAGGCCTTGGCTCTTGTGGGTTGTTATGTTTATTAAGGTTTTTCACCCAGACTTGTTTTTAAATGGCCATTTCTAAAAGATCGAGTACCGTCATTTTAGGGATGGTGGAAATTGGTTGGGGTTTGTATGCACAAGGCAGGGTGTGAGTCACAGAAAAGCAGTAAAGTTGACTCCCTTAGTGTGTGTGATGTTGTTGTTGTTTGAACCTTGTGTGATCGCAGGTATGTTTATGAGATCTTTTGAATTGAGCTTGGTGATAGTCTGACTATTGCGTGAATGCTGATGGACAAGCCACACAATTGATGTGAGAGTGATCGTCTAATACACAAACTTCTGCTTGACTATGTGGATTATCCTTACTCTTACTCTTTAAAATTATTTTTGGTTGGACGTCAAAGTCAAACCCCTTGATTTCTCTCCAGGCCCTGGATGATGGAGCTTGCCTCCTAGGCCACGAGAGTTGACTGCCACCACAAGTTTGAACCTGTTTACCACCCACTCTCCACAGGGTGCAGAAGAGGGTGTGGTGATCAACCGCCTTGGTGGTTGTCTAGCGTCGAGAGATTAACCCCTCAAGGCGCGTGTCAGCCGACACTTGAATGTCGAACATGGCCCTCGAGACTATCGAGGATCGCCCGACTAAAGGTACCACGTAGTACTCCATCGTTGCTATTGCTTGCGTATGCTCGCATGGCTAGTCGATATGAAAGGCCCTACGTCCGCGCAATTTTATACTAAGTCTTACGCGCGACGCCTAACCGAATTCTGGCTCAGAAAGTTATGGGTCGGATACTAAAGGGACTAGGAGAGTTTGTGTTGTGTTTGTGTGTATTTTTTTTAATTTGTGTGGTGTAACGTGTGGTGAGTGGATTGCGTCCTAGTCGACCGACGACGAATCGTGCTTGGGACCTCAGCCCCCCAAATGTGTTGATTCACGTGTGGGTCTGATTGAGGGGCGTTGACCGCGCGTACCCCCTATGCTACAGCGAGTGAGAAACGCCCTTGGCCGGGCCACCTCTGCGATTGCATACGAAAAGCCTTCGCATGTGGTTCGGTAGCTCGGCGGGGATACGCCCACCTAAGGGATGGTGACAGCCCCCGCAGGTGGAGGTGGGCGGTGCCTCGCGTGACCGTGTCCTGTCATAGGGTCTCGCGAGAGGTACGGCTGGCGCACTCGGTCGGAGCGGCAAAACGCTCATCCGCGACAAGTCCTGCCAAATCCTGCGTAACGCGGCTGAGAGGGTCCCCGTGCGGGACCGATGCGCCCGGCAGGTGGCGCCGTTGTCGAGGTTCTCGGCTGCCTACTGGGGTCCTTAGTGAACGAACCCAGGTTAGGTGCAGGCTGATGATCCAGGCAAAACGACAAAACCCATATGTTTTGGATTGTCTTATATAAGAGAGGCGTATATGGTATGAAAGTTATGATACGGGCGATAATATGTACAGTAAGAGCACGTGATTATGAATATGGCTAAGGTTGTATATATGAATTTAAATAATTAGTGGTGATTAATAGAAGAGTGGTTAGATGAACTTTAGAGGCGAGGTGTCTAGAAATGGCTTAGGAAAGGTCCCCTGGAATTTGACAAACTATTTTGGCGGACTATCCCTCTTATTCCTAACAGGTTGGTCCACAAAGGGATATAGAGATATCGGACGCGGATGGAATCGAGCGGGGCTCAGCTACTACGCCGGAAGACTTTGTCAAAGCATTGGAGAAAAGAGAACTGGCACGACTACAGGTGCCCAAAGTTGACATCTTCCTGTTCGATGGGAATGGGGTGTCAGAATGATTGGAGTTGTTGGAACAGGTTACGAGTGAGGCATCAGAACATGACAAGTTCAAATTGATGCCAAGGTATGTCTGGTGGGAGCTCAGTCCAAAATTCAGAAAAGTAGCAACCGGTGCGAATGGAGACTGGTCAACATTCAAAGAGGAGATGCAGAGGCGCTTCAAGTTGGGAGATGGCCTGCTGACAAAGGCGGACCTAGAGATGTCGAGCCGGAACGAGTTCACTACGGTGGGTGCGTTCGCTACGGCTTTTGAGAAAATGGCAAGAAAAGTCCCGGGGATGGCAGAAGAAGAACAATGTGCCACATTTTTGGGGCACTTCACCAACTTTGAAGCCTCGACACTGACAAGAAAAGGCGCTCCAGGAAAGAAACTGACTTGGGTCACCATAAAGGAGGGCGTAACAGACGGGGAACTGGACCAAGTTGACCTCTTCCAAATGAAACAGGCGAGGAGAAAAAGGAAAGCAATAGACGGCGCAATTGGTGGTGGCCAGAATTTGAAAAAGGTAGTAGAGGAGGTGGTGGCCCAGCTAGAGGCCTCGAGAGAAGCAAGTGCCCCGAAGAAGGTGCTGACAATAACCACGTCCAAGGGAAAGGAAAGAAGGCGGCTACGAGAGAAGAGTTAGAAGAGGAAGAAGAAGAGGAAGAGGAGCCTGAGCCTCCAAAGTTAACAAAGGCTCAAAGAAAGGCGAAGAATTTGATTCAAGGAGGGCAAGGCTCAGGAAACGGCCAAATTCCACAAGCGATAGCACTACCGCCTCCCGAGTCGCATGGACAGACAACGCCGACACCCTATGGGTTGTGGCCAGGCTATGGACCCCCAAGTCCTTGGCCGGGGTACAACCCATACGCACCATGGCCGATAAGTGGACCGCATGGGTCATATGCAGGGGCCCCGTTAAGTATGGCTTCCTGCGGATGTCCAAGGCCCCAATCTCAACAGGTAAGCCACCCGAACCCCCAACCAAGCCAACCTCAACAATCGATGCCACAAGGGTCGCAAGGAAATCAAGGCGGCGGACGAGGATAGAATCAAGGATGGGGCCGAGGGCGAGGAAATGGTGGTGGCGGAGGAAACGGAAGAGGAAATGGAGGTGGTAATTCCACCGGATGAGGAAATGGGGATTGGAATGCGTCGGGTAGTCAGGGTAGTCAGGACGGCGGACGAGGTTTTGGCAGAGGACGAATAGATTGGAGGAAGGAATGCCATTTGTTGGCATTGTGGGCAGAAAGGTCGCACCATCAAGTTTTGGTTTAGATACTACATTGACCCAAAGACCCCTGGTGGAACAAGAAAGGAGGCCTTGCGAAGAGTCGAGGCCGGCATGCCACCAGCTCCTCCGGCTATGTTTCGGATTTGGCAAGAGGAGGGCGCCCGCCTTGATGTGAGGGTAGAAGATATAGGAGAGAATGGGGAGATGGAGCAGGAAAGGAAAGCCGGTACCGTTAGGGAAGAACCAATTGTGGTAGAATTTGACGATGAGATAGAGGAAGGTTACTGGAATGAGATTCGAAGAACGATGGAAAGAATGGAGGATCTAGTGGCGAAAATAGGAAGATATCAAGACAAATTGACCAGTATGTGTGAGGAGGTCCAGGAGTGGAGAGGTAAAAAGTCACTCATGTATCTCTATGATATGGGTCCAGGATCGCAAGGAGGGTCTGGGAACTTGCTAGGCGTAACGGTTTCGGGGCCGATGCCTCGATCCGGAATGGCTTATAGACCACCATCAAGGTCAGGAAGGGCACCACAAGCAGTCAGGACAAGGGCCAAGGGGCCGGTAAGCTCTGATGAGCCGGCAAAGGACGTTCCTGAACCTAGTGGGGAAAAGGAGGCAGTAGACATCTCGGAGGACGAGGATGAAAGGGATGAGAGAGGAGAGAAGAGGATAAGAGGGCCGAGTTGAGAGCGAAAAAGAGGGATGTTAAGGCAGACTCGGACAAAGTTCCGGAAGGGAAGTAAAGGAAGTACGATGTCTGGGTGGAAGAAGGTTATGACGTAGAGGAGATGATGGATAGAATCCTTGAGGGTCATAATCACCTTATGAACCTGAAGGACGTGTTGGCATCAGCCCCAAGGCTTCGGGACGAGCTCAAAGCTCGATTGTCCAGAAAGATGGTGGCTAGCGTGCAATTGGGGGCGATAATCCCCAAGGAAGCAGAGTGGGCAGAGACCGGCACAAAGATGGACTGGAAGTCTATTGCATGTGGAAGTCTGGAGGTAGTAGTAAAAGGGAAAGCATGCTCGGCGATGGTGGACAGCGGCGCGGAGATGAACCTCATAAAAGAGGAGCATGCTTTGCGCTTCGGAATGAAAATAGATTGCTCCGATAACGGAGTCCTGATGGGAGCGAATAGTCGATCGGTATTTGTGGGGACTGCATCGGGGGTGATTTTGGAGATTGGGAACGTGAAGGTGAGAAGTCGTTTTTTTGTAATGCCTGATCTCGATCACCCCATCCTGCTGGGTCGATCCTTCTTAAGTCGAACAGAGACCGACATACTTGATAAGCATGGCGGAACCATGATCCTCGTTTTGTGTGACCCGGTGTGTGGCAATTATGAGATTGTCACGTGTAAGAACACGGGGCCTAGAAGCATAAGGAACCGGCCCAACCCTGACTCTTTCACGATTGAAGAGTCAGAAGAAGAAAGGAAGAGGTTAGAGGGCGGCGAAGTTGAAGAGGAGAGGAAACCTGAAGCACTGACTCTTACCCTGGCCAGTATAGGCGATGCTATAGACATAGTGTCGACCTATGGGATGACAGATCCAGAGGCTGTAGAGGCCCTGAGAGAGAAGGTGGTGGAACAGATGGGAGAAGGAGAGGTGGAGTTGGTATATCGAACGCCTGGAAGGATAGGAGGATCGGCAGGAGCCCAACCCCAGAGCGCAACTCGGCCTTTTTTTAGGGTTAGGCTTAAGCAAGGATCACAAAGGCGGTAGAAAAGGGTAGATCATAAATGCCGCCCAGTTCCCGTACTCGTGACTGAGGAACAAGAAGTTTAGTACGAGCGGGAGCGAGAGTTGATACAACGAATGTGCGAGAAAGCAGCGGGCGGGCCATGTCGTATCAATCAGGAAACGGAAGGGGCGCTGATAATTAGGGAGTCAGATTTCCTTACAGCGCAGGAAAGGCAGTTAAGTGGTGGAGACCATAAGAGGGAGACATACTGCCTATGCCTTTAATGACGATGAGTGTGGTCGGCTAGACGTTGATAAGATTTCGATGATTCGGATACACACCGTGCCACATGAACCATGGAATTTACGAGGTGCGCGATATCCCAATCCGGCTGATGAGGAGAAAGTGGTCAACGACCTCGATGGGAAAATCCGCACTCATGTGTCAGACTACTCGAGTGGACCGTATGCCTCCCCTTGGTTTTGCTTTGTCAAGCCCAATGGGACTTTGCGATGGGTACAGGATCTACAACGATTAAATGTTGTGACTGTAAGGGACGCAGGTGGTCTGTCGAATGCCGATGCACTTTCGGAGGCTTGCGCAGGGCGATCTATAATTTCACTTATAGATCTATATTCTGGTTACCCATTAGACAGGCCTATGACGACAATGCACACTCCTCGGGGTCTGATTCACATGAATGTTGCACCGCAAGGGTGGACGAATGTAGTCGCAATGGTCCAAAGGCATATGGTGAGAACAATGCAGCCAGTAAGCCCCCATATTACGCAACCATACATTGATGATCTGGCTGTGAAAGGGTCAAAAGAGAAGGATGAGTAGGAGGTAGGGCCAGGGATTAGACGTTTTGTCTGAGATCATGTGCAAGATCTATGCAAAGTCCTAGACATGCTAAAAAAGCATAACCTCACTCCGAGTGGAACAAAGTCGAGGCATTGTATGCGTGGAGCAACAATCTTAAGGTGTGTTCGACGAGAGGGGTCGTCGGCGAGATACTAAGAAGATTAACAAGATTCTCGAATGGCCAACACCATTTGAGACAATCACGAAAGTAAGGAGCTTCCTGGGAACGTGTGGGTTTTGGAGAGTGTTCATTAAAGTGTTTGCGGCAAAGGCGGAGCAATTGAGAAAGTCCGTGCGCCAAGGTCAAGACTGGGAATGGGGAGACCAACAGGAATTAGTGATTAAAGGCTTGAAGAAGGAATTCGAGGAAGGAGGGTTAGTGTTGGGGGTGCCTGATCATGCCGCCACACTAACAAGGCCTTTTATTGTAGAAACTGACGCAGGGCCAACTGCCTTGGGAGGTGTGTTGATTCAGAAAGATTGCGAGGGGGAAGAACAACCTTTGAGGTTCGAAAGTCGAAAACTTAATACAACTGAGAGAAATTACTCTCAGTTTACACACGAGACTTTGACAGTCCTTCATTGCTTGCGAATTTTCAGGAATTACCTCTGTGGTCTATGGCGTAAACCGACAGATTGACGTTATGGCAGCCCTTCATGATGGAACGGCAGGTGGCCATAGGAGCGCGGATGCGACATACTTAAAAATTCACGAATGATATTATTCGGATGGCATGGGACTCGTGATTGACAAGTATTGTAAATCTTGTGTACCATGTCAAGAGCGGTCTTCCCTTAGGCCTAGGGAACCACTTCACCCAAGATATATACGTGAGTTGTCCATCTGGACCTATTGGCAATGCCTCTGGGTATAGGAGGGCTCAGCTATATCTTCGATGCACGAGACAATCTCTCAAGGTTTGTGGATGGAAAGGGTATTCGCACCAAGACTGCAGAGGTATTAGCTCGGTGCATCGAAGAATATTACCTTCGCTATCCTTTCGTCTCAAGATTCGTAATGGACAGGGGGTCCGAATTCACTTGTGCTGAAGTGAAAACGCTATTAAGGGGATATGGTGTGATTGTCGAGTATACGACTGCGGCACACCCTGAGGCTAACACACCAGTGGAAAGAGGACATAGTACCATCACAAATCTCCTCGCGAAATGGACAGATGGCAGGCCTAATCAGTGGGCAAATTTTATGAGGGTTGCCTTCTTCGTGGAGAATATCACTATCAGAAGAAGTACGAACTACGCGCCAGCTACATTATGGTATGGCAGACATGCGACGTTCCCTATAGAAAGTTTCCTAAAGACCTGAAGACGACAAAACCTCGAAATGACCCTGTCTTTTGAGGAGTTACTTGATCTAAGGGCATGTCAGATCGGAGCCATAGAGGATAGGGTACACGAAGCGGCGAGTAGGGTGGTCGACAGTCGAACCAAGGACAAGTTTCAGTGGGACCAGTTGGCACGAGTGAGAAAGGAGCCTCTTAAGGTGGGATTTACCGTGTTGCTGTACGACTCATATTTAGAGAAGCAGTGGTCGAGGAAATTGTACAGGCGGTGGTTAGGGCCATACAGAATCACGAGGTGCGGCGAGCATGGGGCATATCAGATCGAGAAGATGAATGGAACGACATGGAAGGACTGGGTGTCTGGCTCGAGATTGAAGAAGTTTGTGGCACGAGATGAGGTGAGGATGGTACTGGCAGGCCATGTGGTTTCTAGCTATAAGGGAAAGGTCTTGGCATAGCAGAAAGAAGAAGCGCAAGTTGTTAGATTAGAATGGTTTGATAAATTAAGAATAGATATACATATATATATAGGTACGAGCTCTTAGGTAGTATGGGGAGGGCTATATATATATATATATATCTTACAGTGGTTTCCTGACATGCTTACCCCCTGTGCGCCTGTTGTCTCTTCCTTGTTGTGCAGGCTTGAGACCTTTGACAGCCATGCCAAGAGGGAGGGGCGGGGCAGGGCCGATGGAAGTTTCGTTGAGGACTACCAGACGAGGGGGGCAGCAGAGGGCCACCAGAGGGGAGCAGACCTCCTATTTTTTATTGGAGGGAGTATAGAGATGTTTTTGGCCAGGTTTGAGGCTCATGCCTGTGAGCATGGTTGGGATACGACCAGGATGTTGGCTGAGGTACGAGGCAGTGGTGAGTGGGCTGAGACGATTGCAAGGTTTGTCAGGGGGGTCACTCACTTGGCAGGAGTTTGAGAGGAAGATGGAAGGGTTGCACCCATCACCTATGGGAAGAGATGGGTTGCCAATCCGCTTCGACTTCTCTAACTTGGAGGAGTTTCTTTGGGCTTATGATCTGTTTGCAGATGAACAAAACATTTTGCCAGAGATGAGAGTTGGAGGATTCGTCCAGTTTGTAAGGAAGGCGATCAGGTCTTTTGTCAGGACTATAGTGGAACGAGCAGCTAACTGGGCGACCACAAGCGCTTATTGAGGAACTATTACACTCCTGAGCGCCAAGCAGACAGCAGGAGAGGGATGTAAAGGAAAAGAAGGGAGCCAGAAGGAACAGAGGGACGAGCGTTGGGACATGATGCACCCCATGGAACGAGAAGGGAGGAGAAAAGGAGGAAAGAGCGTATGCCCCACAGGCCTGACACGAGGAGAGGACAAGCCCGATCACTATATTGAGCCAAGAAGAGGGTCTGATCAGCTTCATGAGCCAGCAGTGCAGGATCCCCAGAAGAAGGAAATTGCCAAAGAAAAGGAGATGGATAGGACCGAGAGGTCTGCAACAGAGAAGCAGATCAAGATTAAACTCCGACTGAAAAACCTGGCATAAATGAAGGACAATATGCAGCAAGGGGAGCAGCTAGTGGAAGTGGAGGCCAAAAAGACAGCTCACAAGGATGACCCTCCTCTACTCACATAAGTTTGGGAGAGCTTCTATAGGTTGATGGAGGTTGCAGGCAGACCCACAGAGAGACACCAGGAGATGGGGGTGAAGTTAGTCTATGGAGACTTACTTAGCCTGAAAGGCCTTATGAAGGAAGGTTTTGCAGCAGCAAAGGTCTCTGATGAGAAGATGGGGAGGCGAGTAACCAAGGTGGCACAAGCTTCTTATGGTCAAAGGGTGGATTGGGAAAGAGAGATTGAAGATCCGAAGAAGGAGATAAAAGGACAAGGCAAGGAGGTGGACATTGTGAAGACTGAGATGGTGGACATCAGAGCTGAGAATGGAGCCCTCAAGTTGGTCAATCAGACCCTTAATGAGGTCAACGACGTTCTGAGGGGGCAGCTCCAGGCACAACAAACTTCCTTCCAAGCTAAGGAGATTGAATGGGAGAAGAGGTTGAAGGATATTGAGGTCAGATGTGCTCAGCAGGTGCCTACAGCAGTGGTATTGGATTGAGGTCCAAAGCTTTGGAATAAAGGGGCAATCAGTTGAGGACCTCTTCAAGCATCAGAAGGAGGAGGGTGGATTGGGAAAGAGAGATTGACGATCTGAAGAAGGAGATAGAAAGACAAGGCAAGGAGGTGGACATTGCGAAGACTAAGATGGTGGAAATCAGGGTTGAGAATGGAGCCCTCAAGTTGGTCAATCAGACCCTTAATGAGGTCAACGACGTTATGAGGGGGCAGTTCCAGGCACAACAAACTTCCTTCCAAGCTAAGGAGGTTGAATGGGAGAAGAGGTGGAAGGATATTGAGGTCAGATGTGCTCAGCAGGTGCCTTCAGCAGTGGTGGATTGGACTGAGGTCCAAAGCTTTGGAATCAAGGGGCAATCAGCTGAGGACCTCTTCAAGCATCAAAAGAAGGAGGCAGGAGCTCGATAAGCTTATGCTAGAGCCAGAGGAGGTGCTGAGGAGGAAGGAGTCGGAGGCTGGGAAATTGGAGTGGCTGGCACATACTTCCTTGGCTACTCAGCATATACCTTTGCAAGCAGTTGGAGGACAGATTGAGGAGGCTGGTCAGGTTGAGGCCCCTGTGACTGTTCCTCGGAGTCCTGTTCAGTCTTTGCAGAGAGAGCAGTCACAAATTCCTCAGGAGACAATGGTAGTAGAAGAGAGCAGGGAAAGCAGGATGGAGGAGTCTCAGAGATTGGCCACGCTAGAAAACATGCCCTTGCTCATTAGCTTTGGGGATGCCTTGGGATCCTGGGCCTCTGGCTCTGATCCAGAGAGACGTGGCAGTGGACAGACCATACAGGAGGATGGCAGAGGAGTTTGCCCTGGGACTTCAGAGACTTTTCAGCAGGAGGCCACCAGCCAAGCCACAAGTACCCTCAGAGGAGACCAAGACAAAAGCAGTGCAGAAGAAGCCTGGGAAGTGTTTCTACTGCAAGAAGGGCAAGCACTTCTCTTATGATTGCCCCAAGTTTTGTGAGGATGAGGCAAAGGGTTTGGTTACCAAAGTATCCACTGGGATTTGGAGGGATAGGAGTGGTAACCTGGTTGAAAGATCGCGAGATGGTGGTAGGGCACAATTGTACAGACAGATAGGTGAGGCGTTGACTGACTAGGTTTTAACCATTAGGGTCCAGAAAGGTCTAGAGCTAGGAGAGATGAGAAACTTGACACTGAGTCTTGATGGATATCTGTATATAGAGGAACACATGGAGGATTGGATCAGACCCATGTACATCACGGATTGCGTGACTAAGTCACAGAGGGCCTTCAGTCTTAGATGTATATAGAGATAACACTGGGGTAGCCTTATTTGACCTTTCCTTTTCTTGAGTGGTGTGGAGTGTTTTTGATAAGTACCTGTATGAATATTCAGAGTTTCCTTAGTTTAGGGTGTGATGTATGAGACACATGTCAGACGACTACGTTAACATCTGGACTTTGATGTTTCGACATTTTTTTTCTTATCTTGTATAATATTGTTTTTTTGAGATATCGATAGGAGCTCTTGCCTTCGCAAGGCTCCAGACTTTGTGTACTTGTTAAGGATTTCAGGTGTTGTTTTGTGTGGACTTTCACAATCACTCTGTCTTGTGAGCTTGTCCTCATGTGAATGACTTTCGTGATATGTACGTATTTTGAGATGATTTGAATTGCAAGCTCTTTCTTTGCACTTAGGCATATCTAGCAAACGTCATATGAGTCTTTAAAGTGCAATGGAAGAGGTTGCACCTTTTGTTTTCAACAGAGATTGTTATGATATAATTTGGAAAAGGCTTGAGTAATGATGGATGTGAGTGTCACAACCAAAGTTGTGTTCTTTTGTGTGCGGAGGGAGGTCCAGAGGTTAGCTAATCCCCGGAAACGTGAATGATATTGAGAAAGCGCCCAAAAGGGGTGCTAAAATGATGGATGTTTTTGTGATGTAAAAGTCTGACGAGGAAAGACCAAAATTTTTGTGAGAATTATTTGCTTGAAATTTGTGGCATTCATGATGGAATTTTTTCGAGAGATGTCCCTAAGACGTGCGACCCAACCTACTGTGATCAGAGTAGGAAGGGTCACGACCCTGTGGCTTGATGATGAATATCAGTTGAATATTGAGAGAAGGCACTATCCCTCCACGTAGTCTCGTGGGCAGTTGGTACGTGATCCTTTAAATTGCTTGGAAAATTTTGAGGAATCTTGATGATAAGAATGCTTGACCACTATGAAGTCAGTCTAAGGGACATATTTGGAAGGTTGAGCTAAGGGGCTATACTTGGCATCATTGTGACGTAACTCCCAGTGTGGGGTGCTGACCGGCGCAACCTGGCAGTGGGCCCATGACTCACCAAAGGTTAGGTCTTGAAGGGTCGGCCACTCGGAGAGGCCTAGCTCTAGGGAAGGTCATTGGGATCGATTGAGTCTAAAGTCGGAGTCCTTCAGGATACCAAGGTAGGAAAAATTGCTTATCGTTGCGCAACCAACGAGGGCACCATCGCTATATAACAATGAGATGGGTCGTGGATTCGGCATGATCAACCGATCTGCGGTGGGCCAAGATGGAGACCTAACTCACCTGTGCTAGACTCCAGGATGGGTATTTCATTATGATGGGAGTTTGTGTGGTTAAATTACCACCGAGGACTGAGGGGCCCCTGTATTTTGAGAGAGGTCTCGGTTAGGGCCCGCGTCCAAAGTCGTGAGCCCATTCGCGGGATCAAGGCTAAGGACACCCAACGAGAAACCGACGACGTCTAGGACGAAGGGAGAGGACTATCGGCCTGCTACCTGGGAGCGGATATTACGTTGTACGAACATAGTATCCCTTGATTCTAAGGCCAGGATATGGGAGACCCATGTTAGAACCCTGGCAGTGGAACACCGCGACGGGAGCAGGTTAAGAAGATACCTCGAACGGAGTCGGGCCGGTGAATCGGATTGGTTACTTCCTCGTCAGCAAATGTGATTTTCTTGTGCTTATAGTTTTTGATTTGCCCGACGCGACGGGGACGTCGCTTAATAGGGTCCGGAAAACTTTCGGCCCGAATACCCTTACAAGGGTATTTGGGCACAATTTTGCATCTCACAGAAGATGCGTTTTCAGGGATATCCGAGAGATTGTCCCATTTCCGAGTGACCACGACCAATTCTCAGAGGTTGGGAGTGGCACTCGCTTTTGGATCTGATTAGAGAGTGTGTGGGCGCGCACTTTGAGGGCATGCACGATACTTAGGTGAACGTTTGGTTATGAGAGTGACACACCTGCGCCTATTGGCGTGAACTCGGAAGAGAACTGCAGTAGCCCACGCGGAGCGGATTCGTGTCCGAGACCGGCATTTGGGCGGTCTGGCCTAAGATCTAGCCATCAAATCCGCTTGGGTGACTGGCCATGGCACTAGGATTAGCGAGGTGCAAAGTGCGGGACTTCCTAGGCCGACCATGATATTCGTCAACGGTAGGAGTCGCGGGCAGCACTATAAAAGTCGAGTTCGGCGAGACAGCCTAGTAGGGAAAGTTTGAGTAACGGCGCGGTTATGTCATAGGCACGACGGCGGCAGGTGGAACTGACCCCTTGATGCAGTAGGGCCGGGTATAAAGGAACCTATGATATAGCCTGAGAGCCAAAGAAACGGCGGGCTTAGCACAGTCCGGTGGGCCTAGGCCTAAATCGGACGTCTTTATAACCAAGTCCGCACCAATTACCTCCAAGCTTGGGCCTAGCCCTATAGGTTACGACTTTAGACTGATACTACGGAGATCTGGGGATCAAGGCCACCAGCGGACAGCGAAGGAGCGGAGGATCGTCTTATGGAGGAAACTGAGGGGTTGAGGGTCCCGCGGGACTATCCCCCTTAGTTTTGCTAGGAAGTCCGACCGAGGGCCCGATAGGCAGGACTGAGGGCAGGGTTCCGATGGTCCTCGTCCCCTCGTTCATTTTCCTAAATTTTCTAAGTTTTTATTGTTATTTTTTTTGTTATTTTATTTTATTTTTGTCCCAATTTGGGACGCGGTCCGGCGCTGGTACCTAGACCAATCGTGTACCAAGAGCCTAGCTCAGTGGGTACACTTGTGAACTGTTGACGTACAGGCCCGTGTTCCAACTTTAATGAGGGAGCTCGGTGAATAGGACTAGATACTTATGATTTGTCTGGGCCTCGTCCGCCCAGTAGCTCCCCTCTTGCTAAGAGTGAGTATCTCGCGCTAGTCAGGCCGGGTCCATTTCATAGCGACCGATGGCCAGACCTCGCCAAGCAAGCCGAGGAGGTCTTACTGGAAGGCACTATTTAGAGTTGGTGCTAGCCTTTATCGCTTCGTTTGAGTCGTGAGTCGTCGGCAGCTGCTGCGTTAGTCAAGAGCGAAGACGGAGACAGCCACGGAAAACGACGAGAAACAAGTGGAAGCAGAGGGAAGGGGAGTTATTGCGCGTTCACTCCATAACGAAACCGGCAGAGATAGAAGCCGTTTTCTTTTGGGAGGTTTGGTTTTGAGTGCAGTGAACAACGGGGCTAGGCTGACTGTAATGAGAACTGCGCGGGGTTAGTAGAAAGAGAGAGGAAAAGAGCGGGAAGGGGGAGGAGAACTAGAGAGGGTCGTGCGAAGAGAGAGAACATACCTCTAGTTTGGCGATGCACCCGACCACATTCTAGCGGAAGATTCAGCGGAGACGAGTTCGGTACTGTCACCAACCGTCGTTCCCATGCCTCCCACTGTGGAGGCCGTTTTTCATTTCGGCAGTCGGGTTGTCATCGGAATCGTAATCCCAACAACCGTGGCTGAGGTGGCGGTCCTCATCCTGTATACTGTGATGCTCGTCATGCTTGCCATGGGTAGTAGCAAGCACTCTCATCGTTGGTGAGATTCAATGCAGGTGCATTTTGTAGTCGAAGCGATGATGGTTCGTAACATACGAGGGGTTAATGAATTTGGGCATGATGTGGGTTATAGATGCACGTAAAAAGGAAGAGGAATGGATGTAGGTAGAAGAAGAAGACAGGACACAGACGGGGGCGGCCGGAAGGATTGCATGTGCGCGCGAAGGAAAGTAGGCGTCTGACATGGGTAGTAGCAAGCACTCTTATCGTTGGTGAGATTCAATGTAGGTGCATTTTGTAGTCGAAGCGATGATGGTTTGTAACATACGAGGGGTTAATGAATCTGGGCATGATGTGGGTTATAGATGCGCGTAAAAAGGAAGAGGAATGGATGTAGGTAGAAGAAGAAGACAGGACGCAGACGGGGGCGGGCGGAAGCATTGCATGTGCGCGCGAACGAAAGTAGGCGTCCGAGAGAGAGAGACAGAGAGAGAGAGAGGGAGGACTTACCATTGAGAGTTGGCGGAGCACCGAAGTGAAGCAGTCGTGTTCATCCCGGTGTTGGGCGTCCTGATTACACGGACCGTCATCTTCTTCTTGACGGCCACATCCCAACCGTTAAGCGCGGATCAGAGAGAACAGGAACCTGGCCGAGGGGTCGCCCAGGTAAGGTAAATAAAAGGAGGTAGATGACAGTCGGAAGAGACTGAGGAAGAGAAGCGCCTACCTGATATGCATCGCCCTGTATTGTAGCAGAAGATTCACTCTCATTTTGCACTTTTGGTGGGTGACGGAGAGGCACCTGCAGTTATGGCCACGTCACTCTTGATCGAGCTTCGCCATCATTGCTAAGACCGCAGTTGTCACCTTTCTGCCCATAGCTCCCCTACTCGTGGACCGCTGCCTTTCCCGAATCCGGGCTCGTTACTCCTCTGATTCGAGCGACCCCCACTTCGAAGTCGCCCTTGGTCGTGCCATTGAAGAGAGAGGCGAACCTAGTGAGGATGGTAACCGGGTACGTTGATAACAAGGAGGGTGTACAGACCTGAGGGAGAGGGCGACGACAGATAGAGGAGGAGGAGCGAAAGAGAGCGAAAGAAGGAACGTGCCTAGCGCGAGAGCTGACATCCGACGATGTATCTTTACATGTCCTAGCGGAAGATACATTCACATCTTGCCGACAGACGGTATAACAACGCACGATTTCCACCTCCATCACCATCACGATCGCCATTTTGGTTTTGATCCAAGTAGCGGTCCCCTCTTTCCTATGTAGGTGGTGTGTCATCATCACACTCG